TAAAATTCTTCAAAACAGAAAGCTTTAGTCATCCTATGAAATAAAGGACTGTTCTCTGAAACAGAGCTCAGATGGCAACGTTTCCAACAAGTCTTGTAAATGTGTAAAGAAATGGGAAAAGATCATGTTTACACTTAAATAAAATTCAACTACGGAGAGAGTGGTCATATTGCATGAAACTGCCAAAGAGCAATCCGGTTCTGCTACGGAACTTCGTGAGTTAAAAATAGGAACCAACAGGCAGTAAGAAGGGTTAGTAGTAGGTCAACTGTTGTGATGGAAGCAAGATAGCATTAATAAATTTTTAATCTTAGGAATGTAAGAAACAGTAGAATATATTATATGACTTATATAGAAACTGCCAAACTGCATTTTTCTTAACTTGGTGACATTGTAGGTACTACTGAGTTGTCAGACAATGGACACGTACATGAAGTCATCTTGTGTGTTATAGTATGTGTTGTTCTGATGATATTGTATTGGGAATTGATAAATGTGATGTTGATTTCCACCTAGAAATGGAGAAAGTGTTATTTCTGTAAGATATCAAACATTGTATGCAGGCAACAACTGCCAGTTGAGACCCAGATGGAGATTATAGTTTTTAACTAAAGTCCATATTATGTGGTCTTGGTTAAGGAACTCTGATATATTTGAATAATTGTTCACTATTTTTTCCTTTGAGGAAAACATCACAAATGTACTTTGAAATTGTTTCATCATTATAATCTAAAAACATAATTCATAAAAATGACAATTTGAGACTGAAGAGATGAAGTTCCTTGTTCTCAAAGTAAGTACTGGCCTATTCCATAGAATGTGCAAAAAAAGATATAACAATTCTTACATTAATGCACCTGTTTCCATCACTTTTAAAGAATTTTGGAATAATAGCTAACCCACTTTATGACCTAAAAACTATGTGTTACAGGTGGTTTCAGTAAACCAACATTTTTGTTGTGCTTCTTTAGAAAAGTCAAACCAGTATGCTGTATCTTGTGCTATGAGATCCCTATATTTTGTTTTTATACAGATGCGAGCCAAGTTGGATAGAGAGATCTAATGTCTTAGGATAAATGTATTATTCTATGCTTCTGGAAAGTGAATTTACATGGACAGGAAATTGATGTATCTGAAGTTGGGTAATTTGCTGTATGAAAAAGAAAATTGAAAATATTTCCTGGTTGGTTAAAAAGAAAAGATTCTTGATTGACACAGACCCTTAAGCTCTATTGTGCTTGAGAAACCAAAAGGACTGTCAAGGTGTTATGGATAAGTTAATATAATACTGTTATGTCTCCGTTTGTTAATTGATTTTCCGTAACTTCGTTCCGACGAAACTTTAGCGACACAAGTCCTTACTTAATAAAACTGGTTTATTCTTTCTGAATATAACTTTACCAATACACTTA